TCCCCCCCCCCCCCCCCACCACCCACTTTCTTATCTATTTTTTTCCTCAACGGAGGTTGTATAAATGAAAATTGTACTAGGAGACATTCAAGCAGCATGAGACTTAATTTTTTAATACTGTAAGCAATTGGAGTCTTAATGATCGTGAAATTGTCTTATCTCATTAGAATGCATTTAAAAAGGCCATCAATGAATTTTAAACAGAGGAATAACTAATAGGATATCATCAGCCAAATTGACAACTACAATTCACATTAAGATACCCTAGAAATAATTGCATCAAGTGTGCAAAGTAGTTTTTGTAAATGGTTCCAGAGAAGGAGAAAACCCTCTTTTTCTGGATCTTGGCCAACTTACAAGATTTGCAGCCTTCAGTTTTCTTCTTGTTGATTCATATAAACGTCGCTTTTCCTTTTTTTCTGGATCTTGTTTATAAGACTTCTGAATTCCAAGGGCAGTGCGCCATTGCCGGGGCAATAGTGATGGATCTCTATATGGGACAACAAATTTCCATACAGACATCCAATCAGATTTGTAAATTTTAAGCCCCTGAGAAATTAGGTCATAGGTTAAGTTAAAAAGGCACTTATCAAATGAAAAACTATATAAATTATTTCACAAAGCTTTTGGTCAAAACCTCCTGAATGCGTGCTACCTCCTCCACTGTCAAAGGTGATGTCTTCATCTTCCGAACTGCCTGCAAGAAGAAACTGTCTTCAATCAACTTTCAATTCTTGATTATGATAAAAAAGAAATTGAAGACGTCATTCAACAAGACAGTTAATAGAAGAGAAGACAAAGGAAACTTCCCATCTAGCCAAGTGTGTTGTATTACTATCCAATTGACTAGAATATTTTTTGGATATGGTAAGAAAACTTGAATCTCAAAATAGATTAATGAAAAAAGATATTTGAGAGAGTACTCCATCAAGAAACACCAAAACATAACTAAATCAGAAGTTTCTTTTCATGGTGTAAAAGTGTCCTGTAACCAATTTGATTCTTTGCTCTCGGAATAACATTTATTTATATGTTCAAAGAAATTGTGCCACATAACAAGAGGTGAGACATTTATGCATCCAACAATACCGTAGACCACTAGAATACTGGAACACAATTTAAGAGGCCTGGCACGATGGTGGAAGCTTCCATGCCACCCCCCAGAATTGAAAAAACAATCGGGTGGTCTGGCTGCTTTCATACAAAGACAGGAGCCAGATAGAAGAATGGAAATAACTGATATCACCAAGAACGTTCCATTTGGGATTGGAAGCCAACAGATAGAATATGTGGCTCCGAAGATGCAAATTTTGGAGAAAAACAGTGAGGTTCGCCCATTCTTCCACCTCTTCTCTACTGAAGATTTCAAACTTTTTTAGATTCAGGCCAGCAATTATCAACTGTATAGACCTTTGAATTTGCAATAGACTACATTGGAAGGCAAAAAGGTACTCAGCAGGCGAGAGGATCCAAAGGTCTTCCCAGAAACTAATTTCTTTCCATTTCCAAATTTAAAATAGGTCTTCTCCTTAATAAGAAATCTGGTTTGGCTAAGGGCTATAAGTGGCTTTTTTCCGTAGACTGATCAGGAAACCAAGCACTAACCAACTGCCCAAATTTGCTTTTGATGATGGTTTTCCACAGGGATTCATCCTCTTGAGAATATCTCACTTTAACCCAGCTCAGTAGGCCACTTCCTCCTCCATTAATAGCACCTTCCCAGATGGAATCGCGGAGGATTTTGCCTAGGATTTTTCCCAGAATGTGATGAATGCAAAGCTAATATACGAGCATGCTAGGATTTTGTTTTAAGGGTTCTGCTTGGTGGTTGTTTTTCAATCATTTTGATGATTTCTCTTGACATGATATTTGTTATAATTTGCATTCTTCCATTCTTCCTTCATAACTGTTTTCCTTTTTTTTTAATACTTTTCTTCTTTTAACTTCTACATGAAATTTGTATCTTTGAGCATTAGTCTCTTTCCATTTCTTCAATGAAAATTTTTATTTCTTATTTCAAGAAATATAGGAGCATGCTAGTAAGCCTTTTCCCCTTTGAGAGATAGGACAGTCCATCCACTTAGCAAACTTGCTCCTAACTTCCTCAACTACTAGGTCCCAGAAAGAGAGGGAGGAATTTTTCCTCCTAGAGCCAGGCCGAGGATAGAGATGGGGAGAGATTCATCACTGCAGCCTAATGATAAAGCAAAATTCATCGTTTGATCTTTGACAATATTGACCACAACAAGGCTGGATTTGAGCAAGTTTATGCTAAGCCTGAAAGCTTGTTCAAAGATCTTTAGGAACTGGCACCAGCTTTTCAGCTTTGTTTTGGTCATATTTTCATCATAAGAAGCACGACATCAGCATTCTTTTTACAAGAAACCAACAGAATATATTCAAAATGTAAAGAAAGACAACCAAGGGCTAGGGGAAGAGAGAACCCTCACCCAAAGAGCTACTTAAAAAGACCTTTCCAGTCATTAAAAACAAGAGTGAAAAGGTAGCTACAGAATAATTTGATAAAGCTATGACACCACCATGAAGCATTTAATTGTACATAATCCCAATAAAAATCCAAGGGAGTAGACTTATCTTTGAAAATCCTTCTATTCCATTCCAACCAAAAGCTAAACAAAAGCGCCCTTGAGGCAAACATCCAAAGGATTCTAGACTTTCCTTACGACTTCCAGCACCCCAGAGATTCAACAATGACCCATCCACCTACTTTGGGAAACAAATTTGCACCTCAACAAGATTTAATGATTTTTCCCAGCCCTATCAAGCAATGAGGCAATTGAAAAAATGCGGTTCAAGGATTCTTCATTCAACAAACAAAGAGCAAATAGAGGGGCATAGGGCACTGCTAGGATACTTTTTCTGAAGTGTTTCATGGGTGTTTGAACTTTTAAATTTCATCCGGATTCTAAAGTCCCAAATCATCTTAGTCAACAAACATTTCAATGCCATCTAGAGCCAGCTAAATTTAGGAAGAAAGACTTCGTGGAAAAAGAAAGTCCCGAGTCCAGAGATCAGCTAATTTTATCTTCTTATTGGTCCATACAAAAGGCTTACAATTTTTCTATAAGAAGTAACCCAGCCTGAAATTCTCTATCATATACTCCTCTTCCAATGCCCAAGTGAAGTTCCCTGCGCCTCATCCCAACATTAAGCCACTATAGCATCTTGCTTCGAAGATATATTACAAATGTCAGGAAACTAATCTTTACGACGGGAACACCCAAGCCAATTGTCCTTCCAGAATCTGATCCGCTTACCATTGCCTGCTTTGAAATTTATAAATCTCTCATATAATGGCACCAGCTTCGCAATATCGAACCACAAATGATTCTTTGAACTTCCCAAAGGAGGAAAAGCCAGCCACCCAAAAGGCTCTTCCCCATAAATACTAGCCACCACCTGCCTCCAAAGGGCTTCCTTTTGAACAGAGGAATGCAGACACCATTAGTGAGAAGGGCTGAATTTCTGTGCTTGAGAGAGCCAATCCCAAGACCTCCATGGTGAAGAAATACGGAGGCGGTGTTCCAAATCAAAAGATGATTACCAGCTTTAAACTCTCCCCAATACCAAAAAAAAGTCAATAATCAACGTCTTCGTGTCTTTTATGATTCCTCTTGGAGCTTTAAGAAGGGAGAAGAAGTACAAAGGCAAGCCAATAAGAACTGAAGAAATGAAAAAAAGACTTCCTCCCTTGGAAATCATTGATTTTTCCATTTGGTAATTTTATTCTTCAACTTGTCAACCCCAGGCATCCAGAACTCCAGAGACCGGTGTTTACCTCCTAAAGGAAAGCCCAAATATGTTATGGGGAGACTCCTAGCTCTGCACCCTAAACCAGCCGCCTAATCAGCCACCACCAAGTCTTCAATATTTATACTAATCAACCAAGTTTTGGCTACATTAAAACTCAAACCTCTTCAACATTTATCCCAATCAATGAAGTTTTTGCTAAATTTAAACCCAAAACCGAATAGCTAAGGAAGAGAGAAATCACTTTCGACCAATTTTTTAAACAAAGATTTACTGATCGGGTAAAAGATATATTGGAGGTGAGTGGGGGTGATGAGTATGGGTGAGGAATGTGAGCGATAAGCACCTAATGTCCCCCTGGATCTATTTTTCATACAAAGAAACAAGAATTGGCATGACGATGCCCATACCTTTTTCCATTTTTCCATCAAGACCTCTTTATTCAATACCGTTATCAACTATCTGAGACAGTTGCAGAATGCATGGAAGACATGCAAAAAGTTTAAAAAATCAAGGAGGCCTAGAAGAGTAACTTCTTTTACAATCTAGATAAGTTTCAGGTAAAAGCATACATCTAATTCTCCATACAGAAGATAGTAACATACCTTGATTGGATTTTCTGGTGCTTTTGAAGAGCATCGATTTTTCTGCCTAACAAAAATCTGCAAAATGAATATCAGAAAATGAGGAAAAAGTACATGTACTGATTTAGAATGACTTATGCAAAAATAAATAAATAAATAAATAATAAAAGGAGAAAAAACACATAATTCAGTACCACACTACAAAAGAATTATTCAGCTCTACCATAGCTATTTTCAAATAATGATTTGTATTTTCATGCTAACCACCAGAGGAGAACGTAATTTCATGGTCACTACTTTGGACAAACAAAATCACTATGTTGTTTTTCAGGTAACTATATTCTTAGAACCACAAAACTAACAGTCATGCAATTCCAGTACAGTCACACTCAGGCCCATTTGAATTTTTTTTAAGTGGGGAGAAGTTCAAACTTGAACGATTATACGCATCACAACCAACAATGCAACCTCTCCCCCCCCCCNNACAGCCCCCCCACCCACCCACCCAAATAAAAATAAATAAACAAATAAGCACACAGTAGACGAAAAGATAAAAACTTATAGCACAAACTACCTGATGCCTAGATTTGCAAGGCAGAAATCGCTGTTGAATAGCCTTCCAATCTGTATTATATTCCATCAATCCTAGGGCTAACAATCTGCATATGACTCAACAACAAACACGGGCAATGAGTCATGACATGCACAGGAGTTCATCATTGTGTGAGTTTACAGTTTGGGAATTTATGTATATTTGCAATTTTCATTCAAAATCATTTCTTTCGGACAAGTTAGAGAACTAAAACGTGATAACATTAAAAGGAAGATCACACAATAACAAACTATAGTCTAAACAAAGTTTTTAAAAGAATTACCCAAATGGCCAAATTCCAATCTAGACAATTATGTTTGTGACATCCTCCTGGTTCTTCACATATTAAAACCTAAACCGACCCAAAAACACTAATTAATTGGTTTAACTATTTTTCTTTATCTTATCACCTAATTCAAAATGTCCAATTTAAAATATTATTTTTGGTCTCTTTCTCCCTTTCCTTTTACACTATACCTATTCCCATTTGTATTCATTATCCAGGTATATCCACCATGTTTCTGTACATGTTTTAGGAGCAACTAAATAATAAAAATTTAAACTATAATTTGTACGTTTATAGATTGAAGAATGTCAAATGTAGTACAGTAGGCATCAAACATAGGGGCAAATGATGGAGGACTGGAGTATAGTAAGGGTGAGTTATAGAAACCAAGCATATCAAGGTCACACTTGATGTAATAAAATGTGCAAGCAGAAAAAAGTAAGATAAAACAGACTATGATAGGATTTTATCTTGCACATTCATATAATTTATCTACAAGTTGAACTTATTCCAAGATGCATCTACAACTTATCCATCTAAATCATCACCAGTCAATTCTTTTTTATTTTTTGCCTTCCTTTTCTTGGATAAGATAAGAGACAACCCATAATGAATTTTTATTTACACATAAGAAAGGGTTTTGGTTTTACAATTACAAGTTTAAGGGTGAAATTACAACAATCACTATAGTTCATGGGTGGTTTTTTAAATCTGCCCTGGAAAAAAAAAAACATCTCTCTGTGAAGTTCAGACCAAAATACAAGCAGCAACCAGGGAACTGGAGCAAGAAAGTGAGCAATATTAGGAGAGAAAGAAATGAACTTCCATTACATAGAAAGTAACTTACTCATCCTCTGCATCAGTAAAAAGAACTCGATTAACCACTGCAGCAGGGGGTGGCTTATGAGGAAATAATGTTGGGTTGAATAAAGGGAAGAATTGCTGGGCTAACTTTGCAATGTCCTTTAGAACCATGGCAACAGACTGCTTCTTGGTGCTTTCAACAAGTGTAGCTGCCAATGTCTTCTTAGGTGGCTGTTGACTGGGAGAAAGTGATATTGTGTTGACAGATGAGGAATTGCTTCCAGGTGTAACTTCACAATTAACTCCAGGAAATGCATGAAGACTGGGGAGGGGGAAAAGTGGTTCTCTTTCTAAGGGTGTATCTAATGTTGATTCCAAACGACGTCTTCGATATTCTTGAATAACTGGGATACATTCCAACCCAATAATAATGTAAAATGCAGTTAGAAACATCAGAAAATTATCATAACATTAAAATGTTGAAACTAAATATTTTACTGAACATCTTAGAGCACTAAAGAATATGGTTTACCAGTGTAAACATCATCCAAATAGCTTCCAGCTAAGTTCAGCGGAGCTACATCCAGCGTAGATAGTACTGGACCACTTAGAAATGGTGCCCAACTTGAGCCTTCGACTATATGTCTACTAGAAGCAGAATCATGCCCTTTATCGTAACTTGTTTGAGAGGCAACCCTTTGATAAGTTTGTTGAGCAGAGCACACCATTTGTCCATTGCAAAAGTTATTTGATTCTAATGTTCTTTGCACTTGGAAACTACTATTGGGTACTTCATCTGGCATCGGCGAATAAACACATGGAAGGTCAAAGCAAATGCTAGGAAATGGAACCTTTTTCCATGTCAATACTTCATTGCGTTTATGAAGCATCTCAGAGATTAATCCATGTACCTGGGAGGCAATATGTTGTCGTGAAGAATCACATATACATATTGAAAATACTTGAACAAGAAGTTGCACATGCTCGTGAATCAAACAGTATAATTGACCAATTTGATTTGGTGCAAAACCATTTATTAAGTTATCCTGATTCACAGAAGACCGAGAAGTAGAAGAATTCCAAGTTGCTAAGGTTTTTCCATCGTGAGGGGAAAAAGAAGCTATAGGTTCATTTGGCAATATTGGCAAGAGTGGTCGCAATGGCCGCTTGGCCTGTCCTAAATGTCTTTTGCTATTTTGAACAGAGGCCTTTAAACGCTTATTCTGTCTAGTTTCTGGTCGTCTTACAGCTCTGTTATTCTCCTTTTGGGTTAAGTCTCTTGTAACTTCATCAACATCACTCTCAAGCGCCTCTTCAAGTTCTATCTCAAAGTCAGCATCATTGTCCTCATCTTCATCTTCAACAGTCTCATTTTCTTGACTTTTGCTGTCAACATCTGCATCCTGCAACACTGCAACAAGAAATTTTCTGTACTCTTCTTCATCATCAACATTTTGAAGGTCATCCTCATCATCAGTTTCTTGTAGAAAATTTTCAAGTTCATCAAGTGTGAAATTAGCAAGTGAATAGCGAGCCCTTGTACGCATACAAATTGCATCTGCATCTTTATCTTCTAAGTCTACTGAGGGTTTCCGAGGTGGTTTACAACTAAGTTCTTGTGTAGTAATATCATTAGTATTAGTCCCTGTACTTGATGTATTATCTTGGACCTGACCAACCTCAATATCCGGTTGCATGTTTAAGGCCTCTTTATTTTTCTTAGGATTTTTTGACCCACTTTTCTGAAGTTCTTTCCCACATGTTCTCATATACGAGTCTGTTATTTCCTGCACAATATCCTCGTCCTTCTCAGGATCTCCAGTGACACGGTTGTGCATCTCATCATCCAAGTTTGATAGCTTCATCTCTATAATTTCAGAACCTTTAGTAACATCACCATCCAAACCTTCCGTTTCAGAGCTCAAACTTGATGAAGCTTCTAATAAAGGTGCTTCTGATAGGAAACGGAAATTCAAGTGAAACACTAGCGTATAGTCTAATATATGTTACTGTGGAAAGAAAAGAAAATATATGTACAAGAAGTTTAGATAGCCTTTAAGACTCTACAATGCTTTCCTATGCAAGAATGTCACCAACTTGCTAGCGTCGTTAGATTCAAGTACCCTTCAGCTAAATTTTCCACTCCCAACCCCCAATTTCATCAAACTCACCGAAATGACAGCACTCCATCCCAGCGCTGAATTCAATTACATCACATATAGCTATTAATCATTCTGAAAACAAAACTTCATCACTTACCTCGAGTCCAAAATGCTCTGTTCGCCGACCTCGACTCTCCAGAATCAATAAGCCTAACCTAATTTCAACTATCCCCTTCCTCTCCGGCCAAAAATAATAAGCTTCAATCAACCTCAATTCTCATCATCGTTCTTCGGAGTTCAGACTACCTGGCCGAACCAACGCCGACAACATATGTTTACACCGCCGTTGCTCCGCCGCTGATTGAATTAGGTCTTAAAACTCGAGCTTATGCTGCTCGTTCTCATGCCGTTCTTCCAGTGCAATGCCAAAATCTCCATAGCCATGGCATGCGAATCACAGCATCGATTTCTTGTAGGTTTTCTTTTTCCTTGTTCTCTGAAACAATCGGAAAACTGACAAGCCTGCGTTTGCTATTTTATTTTAATTCATTTTTCACATTTTTATTTGTATTTTGAAGTTATTTACAATTTTAGGTTTCATGGACTTTCGGCAACTAATTTTAAATCGAGTATTTTCCGTATTCCTATTGTGCCCTTATTACGGGTTTGTAAAGCAGCGTTTAAGCCGGATATAATAGTCCAGAGTTAAGTTGGGTCGAGTCCAATAAAAATATATATAAATTATAATATAAAAAACCTTCCATTTTTAGGTTGAATTGGATTAATTTAAAGATATAATATAAAACAAAAATAAAAAATGTATAAAAATATTTTAATTAAAATATATTTAGCTATGCAATTAATTTGAAGATATAATATATAACAAAAATAAAAAATACAACAAAATTAAAATAAAAAATATATAAAATATTTTAATTGAAATATACTTAGATATATGTCTAAAAAAATAATAATAAAAAATATATAAAAATATGTATCAAACTCAAGCGTGAGTCTTCTTAGATCAAAGCAACCAAATTCATTAATATATTTTTTATATTTTTTTTTTTATTGATTAGTTTTGGCTTGAGCTTCTCGTAAGACCTCAGACCAATAGAGATACTATTCTTTGCTTACTAAATTAATCGTGGGACTCGTCCCAGCAATCTTCAACAATAATAAAATCTTTGTACCTCAGTTGCTATTGAACCAAACACTTACCACAAATATGGACATTTAAACATCTTCCATTTTCTTCCCCTTCGTTTCTGCAAACTTTTCTGTGTCCACAATATGAATGGTTCGTGATTGTTTTAAGCATGTATAAGTAGATTTTGTGAGTAGTAAGGCGTATATGTGTATTCTATAACAATTATGGATAGGTTTAGACATTTTTGGATTACATTTAGGGTTCAAATAGCATTTACACATGTTTGTAATTGTTTAACCTACTATCAAGGTAACTGAGCTTATTATTCAATGCTATATTCTAACAAGTCCCAAATAACGACCCAAAATAGAACTATATGCATGAAAGGATCTCGAGCCCAATTCGCGATTTTATGTCTCACTACAAATGAACGTCATGATTCATGTTCAACCCATTTACATTTTCCGACATATCAGTAAGAACAAAAAGTGTAGAGCAGTTAACATCCGTTGCATGATCAAAAGTTCAATCATATTATTAACTTTCACATTTATCACTCGTGAACCACGCATGAACGAGAATGAAATATTTTGTTGTTTTATTTTCTTATATTTCACATTTAAATAAGAAAACGTCATGTTGAATATATAACAAAGTCGGTGAGATTTGCATTTATATTCTAAAAAAGTGAAAAATAATTACAATTTCACTGAAAAAATTCATTCCATATTCCATAAAAAAAAAAAAAAAAAAAAAAAAAAAAAAAAAAAAAAAAAAAAAAAAAAAAAAAAAAAAAAAAAAAAAAACTCTGATGTGTTGCTGAACTGATCTTCTTACAAAACATCCAAAGGTGATCAAGCTTCTGCAAAAGTTAATGATCAAAATGTTGGAACTCTTCATTCTGAGATTGTTTCATTCAGAATCTAAAGCTTTTTCACACAAAAATCTGTGAATGTTTCTATGCCTAACACAAAAGATATCACGTATTTCATTCAAATTCAACTTAAAAGAGGCTCGTCGATGTCGAACTCACTCTCGGGGCGGTTTCGGTTGGCGTAACCTTCCTTCCGTTTCGCCCATAGCACGAAGTAGAGGCCGGTGAACATGAGGAACATACCAACAAGGCTGCAACGATAGCCAAATATGAACATTATGCTCCAAACGCTTGCTTAACCACGATGACGGCGACAACGATAACGACAATGAAGAAAAACGGTAACAATTTACCTTCCAATGTTGATGGGTTCTCCCAAAGTGAAAACTGAGAGAACGAGTGAGCAAACGGTTCCAATCGGACTAAACATCGACACCAAAACGGGCCCTCGTTTCTTCATCGCCCACCCGTTGAAGCTCACGCAAGCCCCGCTAACGGTTCCGCTCTTCTCGTCACCAACATTTGTAAAAACATACATCAATATGCACCCAATATGTACTAAGAATGATCTTAAAATACCACAGAATTGAATGCTGCTTACTAGAACACAATAGGCTATCAATTTTTCAACACTCAGATATGACCAACCAATTTCAAGTTTCTGATATAGAGCTATGTGTATAACTATGGTTATGAGCACTCCAACGAGCGACGTTATTGCACACAACGACATCGGTGTCGGGAAATCTCCTAGTGTCGATGCCTGTCGATCATCACATGATTCAAAATTTCGAAAAGTGGATCTCGTCCATCGTCGCAAGATATGTGCAATAATAGTTGACATACCTGAAGAACAACTACGCTAGATAAAACGACTACCGCCGAGATGAGATACACACAACCGACGATCTTTTGTTCATCAAACGCTTGATCCGCCGGACGTCGTCCGACATTTGCAGCTGCATCCGACAAAGTGCTGTGCATTATACTCATGGTGAATGCGCCTATCACACAGAGAAATGTACCTAAAATCTTGATCTTGCTATAGATACAACTTAGCCGAACTTTTTCTAATCTGCATCAATGAAACTGTCTCTTATTATCGAACACGAAAAAACTCGATAACAAATAGAAAGTTAATTCGATGTACCTAAAGATCCAAGCAATAACAAAAATGAGTCCCGGGGCGAGATTCGGCATGGCAGTCGCTACTGACGGCGAAGTTAGCTGTATTCCTTTAAGAAAAAGGGACTGAAACAATGTAACCCTGCAAATGTTACAATAATTCAAGCACATTTCATAGCTAAAGAACCTAAAAATGGCATGAAAATTGAGAATTCTTGCTTACCCTCCAAAGGATATGAGAAGAATCTGAGATATCAACTTTAGACTAAGTTTCGTAGGCCAATTCGACCTGCAAAACCCGTGAACAAAGCCTCGTTTGATAACCATTTAAAACGTGGTTTTATCGAGCAAAAAAACAAAATCGTTATCGAACGAGAGAGAAGGCGAACCTTTCGAAATAAAGAGCAACGGGAGAGACAATGAGAAAAGTGAAGAAGGTTGTGAAGATGATGAGAGTTAATGGATCAATGCTTAAAGACATGAGAAAGCTCATGAAAACAGAGTTCCCTGCATACACAAACTGCACGGCCACCAACCCAGACATGATACCAAAATCTTCCATTGTTTTGCTCTTTCTCTTTCTTTTTCTTTTTCTTTTCCTCCAAACAGAAATCACAGAAGAAAATTTTGTGTATAAGCTTCCTTTTCTGTTCTTCCATGGTTTCTCATTGTATTTGTTCTTGAAAAGCCTTCGCTTTCCAATCAATTTTTGCAGTTATTTTCTTCGCTTTTTCCTTGCTGTTCTTTTTTGTTGTCTTCCTAACAGTCAAGAATGTCTGTTTTCTTTGCTTATATTAGGAATGTCTCCCAAAAGGATTGGGAATTGTTGGGTGAATTGAATTTGCTTCTCACCCATTTGAGCTTTTTTTGTTACCTATATTCTCTCCGTGTTGACTAACTATAATTAGTAGTATTGGTCTCTTCGCTGTAGATTTCTGGCTTTCTATTTCAATTCTTATCTCATGAAATTCTCAATTTATTTTTATATAATAAAGACGAAGCGATAGGAATTTCTTATAGTAAATTCACGAGGATTATGTTCTCTAATAATTCGTTTTCCATCTCATATGTATTCTAAAAAAAAAAAATTATTCCATATTAAAAAACTATATGATAATATTTCATAAGCAAAAATATAATATATTGTTGAACATAAAAAATGAGCAAGAAAGGCTAGGGTTAGGGACGAAGATGGGTAGAAACCTTGCTTTGTTAATAGAGAGAAATTTTCTTCCATATCTCCCTATTCTCCGTAAAATAGGAATTCCCGATTCGTTTGAGGAGTTAAATGAACATCTTTAATCATGATGTGTAAGGTCATGTAATTACTTAAAAGGGGTTCGTAATTTAGTAAACCATGTAGATAAAACTATACAATGAACTAATAAATGGTTGGGCTCAATTAGGAGATATTGAAGATGATGTAGAAATTCTATCAAAGATGGATAGGCCAAATAGGCAAATACTTCATCTTAGAATGCACTGCGTTAGAAGGAGGAGATGCATCTATTCACATTTTCAAGCATTTGAGTGGGTCTGTTGATCTATACACGTGGGCGAACGAGTGCTTGCCCAAAGATGTAAAACCTGATAGCATCACATTCTTAGGAGTCTACTAAATGCCAATGGATGAAAGATGTAAAACCTGATAGCATCACATTTATTAGCATTCTACTAAATGCCAATGGATGAAAGATGTAAAACCTGATAGCATCACATTTCTAAGCATTCTACCAATGGGAGATCAGATCATGATGCAGTACTTCAAACAAACAAACAATTGAGGATTATGGTATCAAACCAACTACTGAGTATTGTTGAACTATGGTTGGGCCGATGGGACAAAGAGGGGATGTATATAGAAAAGGCAAATACACAAACCAGAGTGTGGTTCGAGTGGATCGGATCAGTTTCGTGAGCTCTTTTGGGTGCCTGTGTTGCTCGTAGGGATTTAAAACAGGCAGAGGTAGCAGAAAGTAATCAAATTGGGAGCTGCAGATGATTATAGATTATTTTTCCTTTTGCACAAGTTTTGAAGATTTCCCATACAGATGACATTGATGGTTCTAAAAGGAACCCATTAACAGAACTAAGATCACGAATGACAATATACTGGCCAATGATTGTACAAGATTTCAATGCAAAATTTTCCCAACCCTTGGTGTTATAATCTCTTAAGCTCATGGTACAAAGTATGTCATTCCTCATTTTGTAGGCTGCTTGTTCTAGTAGTAAGAAAAACAGCCGTCATTTGTTTACAAGATATATTGTTCCATGGAAGCCAAAGGAAAATAATATGATGTGTATCTCAATAAATAAGAAACATACATATCTATGACACTGATCAAACATTTATGACCCACAACAATGGCGGAAAATATTGTTTTCTGAGTTGTCAT